GTTGCCGGCTAGAAGTAAGAAAGAGACCGATAAAAAATCTGGAAAAGAAGGAAAGTTCAAATATAGATACTGAGGTTGTGTGAACCCAAATACAAGGGCAAAGGAGTATGTAACAACTACTAAAATAGAAAGGTTGCAGTTTGAGATACAGACTGGATAATAGCAATATCCTAAAAGATAGCTTGAGACATGAACCCGGTGGCGGCAACACAACAGGTACTAGATTAGGAAGAAGTTACCGAACATGCAGGTAAATATATGTGTGAGATATGTACCGCTCTGTTAGATTTATCTTGAGGATAAATTAGTTCTAGGTAGGGTGTAAAATCTATAGATGTTGCAAAATCTAGCATATAAATAGTGAGTTATACCTTGGTTAGATAAGAAATGACAGGCTAGTTGTGACCAGAGAGTTTAAATAGGTAATTCTCTAGTTGGGTTGCAGGTATGACAGCTAGTGTGAAACCTTGGACAGACTACTTAAATAAGCAACCAAAAGTTGCAAGTATGGCTAGTCATACTCTCACTTGTAAAAGCCAAAGAGCTTAAATAGATAATCTTCTAATTAGATTGCAGGTATAGTGGCTAGTGTAGAACTCGGGCGGACTACTTAAATAGACAACCAAAAGTTGTACGTGTGGCTAGTTGTATCCTTATCATAATTGTAAATCTTGTTAATTATCTAATAAAAAGTCCCCAGCTATAGAGGTCACCTTAATATCAAAAAAAAAAATATAATTATAAATTATTTTTTATTGTTGTATATATATACATATCTATATATATATATACTAATTTAAATAACAAATTTGTTTTTATTATGGGTGTGGTGACTTAGTGAAGTGGTGAAGTTGTCACACTCCCAGATGGCAGGTCTAGAGTTCAAATCCTATAAATGATGATTTTAAAAATACCAGATCTGTATTAGTTAATGTTAAGATTATTAGTTGGATTTAGATATTTGTAATTTTGGTCACACCATCTCGAATAGGAGCTTTGGTGCAATAAATCTAGAAAATCAGAATTACTAAAAACCCATTTGGCAAGTCCTGAGTAGAGAGGTAGTATAATCTTTGATGGTGCTACAAAAAAACTGAATTTGAAATTGAAGACTAAGACCGGAAAACCAAGTGACCAGGTTCTTAAGTGAGGACATACTAGCTGAATTGCCAGGTTGCCAACTGGAGGAAAAGAATATGTGCTCTGAAGCATGTACCAAGGGAAGAAAGTCTGTAGGCACCTAAAGCCTGGGCAGACTGACCCTTCCAGGTTGCCGACTGGAAGTAAGAAAGAGACTGGTAAAGAATCCAAAGAAGAAGGAAAGTCTGAATATAAGTACTGAGATTGTGTGAATCTTATAAAGGCAAGGAGTATGTAATAGGTAACTAATTAGAAAGGTTGTAGCTTGAGTAGCTATAGAATGGCAGTATTCTAAAAAATGGCATAAGATATAAACACAGTGTAGTAGCACAACAAGTACTAGTTAGGAAGAAGTTACCAAACATGCAGGTGAATATATGTGTAGAATGGACCATTCTGTTAGGTTTATCTTGTGGATAGATTAGCTTGTAATAGTTAGTAAGTCCTAATGGTGGGTGCGAAATCTAATTGGGTAGATGCAAAAACCACATATATATAGTGAGTAATATCTAGGGTTAGGTGTAATAAATGGTAGTTATAACCAGTGAGTTTAAATAAGTACCTCTGTAGTTGGGGTACAGGTACGGCAGATAGTATAGAACCTTTGGGCAGACTACTTAAATTAAGCACCAAAAGTGTACGTGTAGCTTGATGCACTCTTATTGTAATTATATAAACATATGTTGCATTTAATAAAAAGTCTTCTGATTGCAGAAGTTATCTTAATACCAAAAAAAAAAAATTTTTGTTATTATATTATATATATATTTATATATATAGTTATTACAGATAAACATATTTCTATATCCAAATAGTATTTTAGTTTTGGACAACACATGTATTCATCATAATAATGGATTATGTAAATATTTAGATACTTTTAGAGTGCATATAGAATTTCTTTCTCTATACTTACCTAATCTTAATCTGATTGAAGAAGCATTTTTTTTGATTAAAAAATATTTGTAACAAAATCATTATTTTGTTAAGAATTCAAAAGATCTCAAATATCTATTATTAATTATATATTTACAGATTTTACTTAGGATAGTAAAAAAAGTTATTGAAGCCGCAGGATATAAATATTATTAAATTATTTAACATAAACTACAGTGTTTCAAAAAAAAAAAAAGCTAGACTAATATTACTATATATACTGTATTAGTAATAAGTTCTATAACTAAATTCTTTATCATAACTTATAATACATAGAAGGTATATTAATTCTAATCTAACTAACATAATTTAAGTTTTGTAATCAAATCTTTTATGCAAAGATAATGATAATTCTAATATTATATAATACAACTATTACATATACTGCATTAAATTTTATAACAGAATTCTTTACTAATTCATAACTATATATTGTAGTCATCAGAATAGTAAATTTTATATATAATAGTATTTTTTATAGTATGCAGCTTAGTAAAAATCTATAACAGAATTCTGTATTATATTATAATAAAAATAATAATCTCAAATATATATATACAACCAACTCAACCTTAATCATATACTATAATTACTAGAATATAAAAAAAAAGATTTTTTTCAGTAAATCATAGTAACTCTAATACTAACTTAATCTTAACTATCAGGTATACTCTATTATTAAGTAAATTCTGTAACTGAATTCTTTACAATAAATCATTCTAATTTTAATACAACAAATTTGATCTTAACTATATTTTGGTTTATTAAAATAGCAAGTTTTGTAATGATTTTTTATTTAAAAAATATAATTTTAATATATACTAATTATTAAAAAGTTAGACAATTACCATAGTCCATAGTGACTACTATTTTGCTTAGACAGTTTCAACTAACCTTTGGTCTCACTTGGTATATTTTTGCTCACAACACATATCACACTACCTTGTGGATAAGTATTTACTTTAAGAAAAAGCTTTACTTTATTACTAGTCAAAATGACTAACTGATTTTCTTTATTTGTATTTACTATTTATATCAAAAATTCTAAATATTACATACTTTATATTACTCTTAAACTATCTCTTTCATTGCTAATAAAATAAACTTTTAATTATATTTATTATATCATTGCCAATACTTTCCACCACAACTTTGATCAATCATATAATCACATAAGTTGTTTAAACTACACTTTTATTTCACTTTTAGTTCTTTTGTTCTGTTATACAATTCATTATCATCTTGCATTCTTTTTACTAAGTATAAGGGTTTTTATAAACTATATAACACTAATTCAACTTTGACTACTGAGATACTATATTATCAAGTAAATTCTATAACAAAATTTTTTATAGTAAATCATTATAATTTCAATACAACAAAGCCAAAAAAACTTAAATTCACATATCTTTAATCTTAATAGCAAAGAAGTGCCTTAAATTGGTTAAACAAATTTAAAAAAATATTAAAGACCACTATGTAGCTAAGAAAGAATATAAAAAAGCTGAATTTTTTATTATTGGACTTAACTATATTCTGGTTTACTAAAATAGCAAGTATGTTTGTAACAATTTTTTTACTTAGAAAATATTATAATTTCAATACTAATTTAACTTTAACTATTAAGTTTATTAGGTAAATTCTATAAAAGAATTTTTTATAGTAAATCATTATAATTTCAATATACAAACTCAACCTTAACTATATTCTGGTTTACTAAAATAGCAAGTAAGTTTGTACTAATTTTTTACTTAAAAACATTATAATTTCAATATAAATTCAACTTTAACTATCAGATATACTATATTATTAAGTAAATTCTGTAACAGAATTCTTTACAATAAATTATTATAATTTTAATACAATATAACTACAGAGAGATCTCTCTAAATATAATCCCTCGAGACCATAGTAAAAAATTTTAAAAATATATATATACTTATAAAGGGCATGTATTTATAAAGAGCAAAATATATAGTGCTATTATAAGCTGGGGCCAAACTATACAGTGCATTTAAAGAGATTTTATATAAAGAGTGTATCTATAGAAGATATATTGAAAGAGACCTCTCTGTATTGTTATTGTTATAGCATTGATAATCATGGTATCTATTGTACTTGATCTTACTAATACACCCAACACTTCAATTTTTATTACAACTTTGATCGATTATATAATTACATAAATTGTTTGAATCACACTTTCATTTTACTTTTAGTTTTTTTGTTTTATTATTCAATTTATTATCATTTTGTATTTTTTTTACTAAGTACAAAGACTCTTTATAAATTATGTGATACCAATTCAACTTTAACTATTAGGTATACTGTATTATTAAGTAAATTTTATAACAGAATTCTTACAATAAGAAATTGCAGTAATTTTAATATAACCAATTCTTTACAGTAACTTATAGCAAAATTATAGTAATTTAATACTAACCAGTTCTTCTTAAATTGCTATAATCATTAAATTTTGTATATTATATATTACACTAGAATCTGGAAATCAGAATTTAAATTTTTAAATAAATATATAAAATTCTAAAAATAGTAAAAAATTTTCTTTTCCAATTAGCCAAATTTCATATAGCAAATACAGAAAATACAAAGCTTAAATATTATTATAGTATCTGCTTTGAGTGCTATAAATATTTATATTGCACTTCAGATTTAAAAATTAGTATATATAATTGTAAAATTTCTTTAGTACCAACTAAAAAAAACAAAACTGATTTTGTTAAACAGGCATATACATATTCTTACAAATCTATCTAGCTAGTACCTAAATTCAAATATATTTACAAACTAGTTATAGAGTATAATTATAGAATAAATTTTCAAATTTTCTCTTTGTAGACAATGTCATAATATCCTAGTCAAATTGAATTCTCTAATATCTAAAAAAAAATTAACATCAAGTAATGGCGTGATAATAGCAAAGACTAATAATACAACAGTAGTAAAAAATCAATAATAAGTAATTTTATTTTTTTTATATCATGTTATATATTTATAAATTTATTTTTTTTTATAGAAAACAATTAAACTTTTCTTACCAATATTAGCTACTACAAGTGAAAATAATATAAACAAGAATAAGACAAGTAGTAATGAAGAATCAGAATTTATATTAAGTTACAAATTATTTGTAAAAATATTAGATAGAACTTTATTACTTGCTAAATGGTTTGAAGAATCTGTTTCAGCTATAAATGAATTTCTTTTATCTATTTATGATAAAGTTATTTTGTTAACAAAAGATACTAATATTTTGCCAAATAATTACTATGTAACTTTTAAAACACAAAGAAAAGCAGATACTAGTACCTAATTAGTTGATGTACAGAACTTTATTAAGTTTAAGTCTGAATATTTGAAATTAGCTACCAAAAAAAGTAATATTTGAATTTATGTTATAGTCATACAATTATTTAGTTCTCAAAATAAGTAAAAAAAAAGGTATATATATAAATATGTCTATACTTATATATATATATATGTATAATACAAGAAATCTAAAAACTTCAATAACTTTATATAGAATAAAGGTTAGCTTATTTGAGATAAACTAAATTTGTATTCTTAGCAGCATACTATTATGTATATATTGTTCTTTGCTTATTGTTTTTATACAAAAAGATTTAAAGTTTTAAAAAATCTTTTGCTTATTGAGATCAATAATTTAGAAAATTTATTTTTAATATGCTACTAGTTTTATATATCATCTCTACTTAAGAGTTTGAATTTCCTATACTGTATGTACATATATATACATATATATTAGAAATAGTTTGCAAAATAGTTACTATAATTCTATATTTTAATATATAAATTACTTGACTATGTATGTACATATTAGTGAAATATTTGTTAATTAAAGAATCTATTAAAAATTTTGTTAATAAAAATCTAAGAATTGGATTTGAATGATGATAATAAAGATAATAAAAGACTAAACTATAGCAAAAAGATCAATCAAATTCTAAGTATATTATCTTTATCTTAATATGATAAAAGTATTGCCAAAAATGTATTAGAAATTTGAAAAGTATATCATTGCACTATATATAATCAGCCTTGTTTGAACAAGGAAAATCACAAGGATTTATATGTTCAAATCACTTTTATGATGCTTTCTATATAGGTATCAGATATGGTGTATAATATATATTAGTCCAAGCAATTTATTATATATAGTTTATTTATATATTTATATTTTTTTAGAATAAAGAATTAGCTACAATTAAAGAGCCTCCAATGCATTCACTTTTTTCTCATGCTAATATATCATCCAAGAAGCTTTTACAAGATATTTTGCTATAAAAAAAAGTATTATCAATTTTATTATTACCTCTATTACCATCTTAAGCAATTTTATCACCACTTTTATATTTGCAAACACAGACACTATTAGTTTTGCAACTATCACAAGTGCTATTGATTTTCTCACTTCAAGCATCATTAGTTTTATCACAACCATAACTGCTACATACACAAGCATACAATTAGAGTTTTCATTTATTATTTTCCAATTTGTATGATCTATATTAAACATTCAGCAGATTATTCAACCTAATTCATTCATTTCTCTTGTTTTATCTACTATGAAAGAATTCTTGAAAGAAGTAGATGAAAAAAAAGAAACAGATTATTATTATCAAGATTTTTTAGAAAATTTCGAAGCACAACAAGTTTTAGTAGAAAACTTACTAAGATTAACAAATAAAGACTTCAAACTATACAGAATAGATACTATTAGAGAATGACAAACTCTATGTAAGTATGCTGAAAAATATCAAATACATAATAGGTTTAATTTTTAAAATATATTAATACAAATAGGATTGTTTTATAATACATAATTATGCTATATATTGTGTATTTATATTTTTTGCAACTTGAACTTGCTTCTATTAAGCATGTTAATTTAAAAAAAAAAAAATTATAGTAAAACAATAAAATTAAATATACACTTAAGATAAGATTAAATAAAAGGCTAGAGCTATAATATAAATATATAAATAATTTATAATTGTAAATCATAGTCTCAACTAGTGCAATAGGTAGTATATCTGTACTACTTATCTTATTAATCTTGTTCAGTGTTTTTTTAAAGTTGTATTAGTAATTATCAAAGTTCTATTACAAAACTTATATTTATTTTAAATTTGAATAAGTTGTATCAGAATTATCATGATTTTTATAATATTCTTTTACTTGTATGTTAAACTGCCAGGAGGTAAGCATAGAGCTTATTAATTACTAGAATTGAGAATATCTTAACATCTATCTGGTCAAATTCAACAACTTTTTTTTTGTTTTAATTATAAAGATTATTAGAATTTGAATCAAATTTGGTTAAATAGATGTCAAGATAACTTTGATCAAAGGTTAAAAATAATTTTTAATACACTTCTATTGATAGATATAAGGAAATTTTTATGACTACTTGGTCAACCAAAATAAAATATTGTATGCTAATAAATAACATACTAGAGAATCAGGAATTGATAAGAAATCTTTAGAATTGTGATTTTTTAAGTAGAAATTTTTTAAGAAACAATGAATTTAAGGGAATTTTACTAATTTCTGTGTAATAGATGATTGATAGCTAATCACAGTAATTTGAAAAGCACTGTAAACTTGAATAGCAAGTTTTTAAAAAATATTTATTAAAAGTTAAAAAAAAAAAATCTGACTACAACTTCTTTTTTAAAATATTAAAAATTTAAACAAAGATTACTTGGCATTTATCTGGTCAAATTTTTATTTTAATTCTGTAATTTTACAGAATTAAAATAAAAAAAAATTATTTGAATTTGACTAAATAAATATCAAGTTATTTTTTAATATCTTAAAAAAAAAGTTGCAACTAGATTTTTTTTTTACTTTTAATAAATATTTCTTAAAAACTTGCTATTTAAGTTCAAGTTCAATTAATTTTTTTTTTTTAATTCTTTGAGAATACAAAAAAATAAAAAAAGTTTGATTGAATTTGACTAGGTAAATACTAAGCAGAAAAATAAAAAAAATTTGATCAAATTTAATCAAGTAAATACTAATTAATTTTTATTCAACTAAGGAACATTTATAATATTTATTTGTTATATATAGATTTGGATCGCAGATATTAAGATTTTACATTGTTGGAAGGTTGTTTGTAAGAATTTTTATATAGAAAAAATATTTGTAAAAGTTATTTTCTAAGGAGTTTAGTATTTTGAATATTAAATTCCAGTTTATATCTGATATATAGTTGTTAAAGAGTTTGAAAGATAACCAGGATATAAGTTTCTGAATTGTAATAATGTTTTTGGTAAAGAAATATGCTTTGAGTATAATAATATAATTGTTCCAAAAGAAGTAAGTAGAGAGATTAAAGTATATGTAGAAGATTGTTAGAAGAAATTTTCTAGAGCAGCTTGATTGTAGAGAGAGTTGGTTAAGTATGATTTAACTTTAACAAGATTAATAAAAATATTTTTAGTAGATTTAATAGAGTTAATAATAGAAATTATATTCTAGTTTTTGAGTTGAATAAGTTTAGAAGAGGAAGGATTAAGTAAGTTTTTAATTAAAATTAGGCTATTGGTATATATGATAATAGTAGAATTAATTAGAATAACAAGTAAAAAAGAAATAATTGCAAACATCTTCAATTGAGAAGAGTCAGGAGAAGAGTTGATTGTAGTGTTAAATTTAATTAATAGATTATTTTCACAAATCTAGCCTATATTAGATTGTATATTTGAAGATTAAAGATTTTAAGTAGAAGCATCTATAGCAAATTAAAGATTAGTTAGATTTAGATTTAGTATATTAGTATATATTTGAATAAGTTAGTATTAATAGAAAGAAAATTTAATAATATGATGTATTAAGTGTATTTCTCAGAAAGAAATATTAATTTATGATTAATAGAAAGAAGTGATTAGAAGTAGGTTAAAATTGTTGAAAATATTAATAATAGCAAGGATTTTCTTGTAGTCAATTTGTAATACAGGTTTATTAAATTTAATTTGCTTATAAGGAAGGTTTATTTGTTTGGAGTTTAGTAGTAAGTTAATGGATTCTATTAAGCTTGTTTGACCTTTAAGTGGTTTTGCTAGTTAGTTAGTCTTATAAATAAGAGTTGTTAATATTTGTTATGATATAAGAAGAATATATCTTAATTATTAAACAATAGTTGAAAGGAAAAACTTGTAATTAAAGAAGATATTAAATCAGTTGTATTAATAAAGCTATTTACTAAAGACAGTTGAAGATGTGACTATATAATCTAAAGAAAATTTGTTTGTATTATTTGTAAAAGTTGAGTAAATCAAGAAGGTTGTTAGCTTTTAGTTACTTTGTTTGTATAAAGATAGATATTGTTCTAGAGGAGAAGGAATTTGTTATTTGCTATTATAATTTGTTCTATAAATAAAATTTTGTTGTTTTTAAAACTATTAAGTATAAGATTATTAGGAGTTAAAGAAAATATATTATAGATTAGATAGAAATATTCAGGAATAAAAGTAGAGTAGTTTGTAATTTGAGTAGGCAAGAAGATTGTTATATTGTTTTTTGCTAATTGTAAGAGATAAAACAGAAGTATATAGTTTTGCTTTTTTTGATATTGTATAAGAAGTGTTTTTTTAATAAGCTTTGGATACCAAATTTTAAGTAACTAAGACTTGATTCAGAGAATGCCAATATTATAAAGAAGTGGAAAGATATTAAAAGTATATTCAACATTGGATATGTCATATATTGGAATGGGATTTAGAATCCATCTAGGTTGATTCCAAATAAACGTAGGTTGTAACAGAATTCCAAAATATACTCAGGTTGCTAAAGAATTTGAATTTAACTTATAATAAAATTAAGTGGATTCTAAATTATTTTACCAAGTATGTTGTTTTGGAATTCAAGTCACTTTAGAATAATATTTATTAATAACAATAATCTATTAGCAAATTAATTCAATTTATTAAAAGCATTACATATCGGTATTGTTTTTACAATTATGATTACTAAGATGACAACTACTACCACATGGTACTTTCATTTTTTTATATTTACAATGATTTTTGTCATATGAATTTTTGCAATTGTATTTAATATTGCCAATTTGTGAAGAAGATTGCATAATCGATGCCTCTCAGATACTTATGAGTGTTGAGGGGATATTATCCAATTCAGGAAACTTGTCAGAACCCAAAAAAAAAAGTTCATTAATATTATATGTAACTTTAATAATGCCTAATTTACATCCAAGTTTATATGTATCATTTTTTGATACTTCGAGAATTTTGCATGGAAGTGTTTTTCGATTAGTATTTATTCTAT